ACGAATACACATCCGGGACTTGAATTTGCCCCCCAATAGTCGCGTTCCCTTTTTTTTTACTGAATTAAGATTACAATGCCTCCTCTAGTGTTATTTATAATCTCTATGCTCGCAACGGCACTGAGTATACATCTTTTGAAAACAGGCGAGGGGTTATTGCATGCATGTATTTCTAGTATGATTGTTTAACAGCAAGTCTTGTGCTATAATTAGAAGCCTCTTGGACCGGAATATAAAACTGATCAAAGGACACCGGTAATAAGTTATTATGGAATTTGTACATAAATTTAACAAGATGGAAAGAAACAAGATCAGGCAGCTTCATGATATTCAATCTTTTAAATAAGGGACTTGAGTGTTCATCGTATTTTGAAAATGTAATTATTCGTATAGCTTTCTTTTGTAAAATATGCAAGTGTTGTAGAGTAAGAGTGGTTTGTATTACCCCAAATAGTTATTCCATAAATCAAGAACGGGTAAATCAATGCATAATAAAGATTTACAAGAATTTGGTCACTATAACATGGTAGCGTAATACTTCATTTAATTTTTTTGCAATGTAATTTGTTTGACTTTTCCAGTTAAGATTAGAATCTATGTAGATTCCCAAATATTTAATGCAAAGTTCTTGTTTTAATTCTTTTCCATTCAAATATAATTTGAGATTTGAGGATATTTTCTTTTGTGGAGGATGAAAAATAACAAAATTTGACTTTTTAATATTCAGAGAAATGCGATTTGAACACAACCATATGTGTACATTATTTAGCTCATTATTTAAGTCATTTTGTAACGTAAGCAAATTTTTGTGTTTATAGAAAAGATTTGAATCGTCTGCAAATAAATGAAAATCTAAAAGTTTTGAGCAACAATTGAAGTCATTTACATATAGCAGGAACAGCAATGGTCCCAGTACCGATCCTTGGGGAATACCACAAGATAGTGTTAGTTGATCTGATGATACATTATTCAAAAAGACAAATTGTTTTCAATTACTAAGATAGGAAGCAAGCCAATCTTTTGCTATCCCTCTAATTCCATAATGCTCAAGTTTCATAATCAGAATATCATGATTAACTATATCGAATGCCTTACTGAAATCCAAAAATACACCACATGAAAATTGGCACTCTTCAATTGCTTTTATCAACAATACACAAAATCGCAGAATCAGTAGAATATCCTGTACCGAATCCAAACTGTTTGTTGTAAAGAATATTATTTTTGTTGAGAAAAACTATTAATCTATTAAACACTAGAAGTTTATTAAAAATCGACAGAAGAGAAATAGGTCGATAATTATTTAAATTAATAGACAGACCTTTCTTGAATACCGGTATTACTTTTGCCAGCTTAAATCTCTCAGGAACAATTCCTTTTAAGATGGACTCATTAAAAATTGTTTCCAGGGGTGTTGCTATATAACACTTTTAAGTAATTTTAAGTTATTTTAATACTGAAATTGGTATGCTAAAAGCACCAGTAGACTTATTTGTCTTTAATTAAAGTCATTATTTCGTTTTCTATCTCCAACGATGTTATAGGATGTATAAGGAAACTATCACGTTGAGGAGTTGTTAGATAATCTAGTGGTGATTTCTGTGCTTCCGGTATCTTATTCGATAACTGATTGCCAATGTTAGTAAAGTATCTATTAAAGGCATTTGCAACTAAATTTGTATCTGTGATTTCACAGTTATTCTCAAGAACTTTTGTAGGTTGTTGATGTGATTTGGGATTACTATGTATAATTTTTTTTATGCCTTTCCATACTCTTTTGCTATTATTAATATTAGAGGCAAAGTATTTATTATAGTCTAATTATTTAGATAATCTAATGAGATGGTTTATTTTATTTCTGTAATATTTAAATTTAGAGTGATAATGAACAGATTTAGTTTTTAGCAATTTTTTCAGTAGAATTTATTTTTTGTGTTGATGGATGTTCTAATAGCAGACGTAATCCATGGTTTAGACTGGATTTTTAATTCCTTCTTAGACATCACTTTGATAGGAATATATTTATCAACTTTTTGTGATATAGTTTCATAAAAAGAATCAAACATAGAGCTACAGTAGCGTCAGAACAGCAGGAAAATGCATTGTCCCAATCTATGGTTTGAATATCATTAACTAAAGCTGCCCCATCAAACTTACTAAAATCTCGCTTATAGATCTTAACATTATTAGGTAACAAAGAGTATCTATTAATTATCAAAAAATTTGGTAAATGATCAGTAAGGTCATATACTATATTGCCACCAATAAGAAAGTGTTCAACAGAATTGAAAAATATATTGTCTATTAATGTGGCTGAATGATCAGTAATTCTAGTCGGCTGAAGTATTTGAGGTTGGAAGAAATAAGAACATAATGTGTCTGTAGCTGGGTGAATTTCAAACTTTAAAAGATCTAAATTAAAATCTACTATAATTACACAATATTTACTTTCTTGATGAATTTTTTCAATTGTTGAATTAAGGTATGACATAAAATTTCCTAGATTGCCATTGGGGTGTCTATATAACACTCCACATAGCATGTTCCGATGGGAGTCAGTCTGTATTTCAATCCATGAAGCTTCAAAGTCTATTTCTGAACAAGATATATCCGATCGAATTAAATATTTTAGCTGATTTGTTATGTAGAAACCAACTCCACCAGCATTTGTTTTGCTTGGTTGAGATACAAAATTATAAGCCAACAACTCTGTATTTTTGTTAAATTGGATTTTGATCCCATTTTAGTTTAGTTTCAGTCAGACCAATTATTGAAAAGAGAAAGTGCAATTCAGATAGCATGTTATGAAAATGATCAAAATTAGCTGATAAGCTTCCAATGTTACAATTCAAGACAGAAAATGAGTTGTCAATTATACACTCATTAATATATTTGTCATCGTGAAAATTATGTGTACTATAATAATATTATTTAAAGTTAACCTCTGATGGCATATGAAGATCAACATCTGAGCTTGTTAGATGTGGTATATTTGTTTCACTTGAAGTAATATTAAGAAAAGGAAGAGAATCATAATCTCTGGTCCCATAGACCTCGTCATTGATACCTTCAACAGGATGTCCACATTTTAGACAAATCATTGAAAATTACATGTACATATATATTAGTTCACTTATCTGTTTAGAGGTTCAATATTCATCTCATGTTTTGTAGATCTGTATTATTCCTGATATGTAGTTTTGCACTGTTTACATCCTTTTTTGTGAATATTCTTCCAGATTTGCACTGTTTATATCCTTTTTTGTGAATATTCTTCCAGATTGTGTCCAAATTAATTTATATCCAAGCTCTTTCTTTCGTTTCCATGTTTCTTTAAATAAATCCTTATTCGTCCTGGTCAGGCTTTCCGAGATAAATATTTTATTTCCCGTGGAATTCAGTAACGGCAAGTCTGAAGTTGACTTATTACGGAGCATTCTTCGTGAGGAATATAATTTCTCCTTAACTTCAATTCTGACAAATTTCACTCTAATCGGCGGTGGACGTTATTTGCATTTCTTAATTGTGACTCATCATTAGCACGTTCATTCTCTGTTGTTTCTTAATTTAATTTCTGTTTGGTCGAGCTACAAGTTTTAGACATCTCGTCTAGCTTCAATAAGTAAAGCTTTGTTATAAAATAAATGATTTTACTTTATTATTTGATGAAATTTACTTTCAAATATACGGAGCGACAAAACCCAGTCCGCCATCTTGGCTCGCCCGAGAAAGGGCACGAAAAGAGCACGGCCAGAAGCTCACAAAGAGCACGGCCAGAAGCTCCTTCTCGATCTGAGCATAGTTGACTTCTGCTCGAGATAACGCTCTACTTGCAAACGCAAGCGGCTGTCCATTTCGGGAAATAACTGCTCTCAAGCCTTTTTCGGATGCATCACATTGTAAAGTAAACTCTTCACTAGGCTGGTAATACTTAAGGATCGTTATCTCGCCATCTAACTGTTTCATTGTGTCAAACGCGAGCTGTTGTTCCTCGGTCCATCGCCACTCTGCATCTTTATGAGTTAGTTTCCTCAAAGGTTCACATACTCGACTCAGACTCGGCAAGAATCTTTGTAAATAGTTCACAAAACCAATCAATCTACGAACTGCAGCTACATCTGTTGGCTTAGGCATCTCTAAGATTGCTCTTTGGATCAGGCTTCAGTTCTTCGTCTGTCAACAGATGACACATGAATGTAACTTCATTACAACTCAGTTTGACTTTATCTGCATTCAACGTGGTGTTCTTCTCACGCCATCGACGCATTAATGCATAAACTTTCACATCATGATCTCGCTCTGCTTCTTCACGCGTAGCACCGTTGCCAATCACGAGGATGTCATCGTTAATTGCTACCACTCCTGGAAGATTCTCTATAACATGATGTTGGCGTCGTTGAAACTCTTCTGGTGCACTTGTCAGACCAAATGGCATCCGCAGCCAGCGATAACGGCCAAATGGGGTTATAAAGGTGGTCAGTAGGGAACTTTCTTCGTCTAGCTCCACATGCCAAAACCCATTTCTCACGTCGAATGCACTGAACACTCTTGCTTCTCTCAGGTCGGGCAAAATCTCGTCTATCGTTGGAATTGGAGAGTGACCGCGTCTGGTAGCTTTATTGAGATCCTTCGGGTCTATACATATACGTAGCTTGCCAGTTGGTTTTCTAACAATAACCATATTCGAAACCCAAGGTGTCGGTTCGGTTACCACTTTAAAATGGTTACCACTTTTTGCTTTCAAATCGTCTTTCAGCGCAATAGGTACTGGTCTTGGTGGATGAACCACAGGTGTTGCATCTGGATCAATTGTTACATGATATTGTTCGTCAAATTTGCCAGTCCCCTGAAAAACATCTGAATATTGTTCAATAAGGGTATCTTTAGTCAACACTGTTTTACTTGATTTAACCGACAACAATAATATATTCTCGTATCTGACTGTACTTAGGCTCATTTGTTAAACAAATTCAGTTTCATAGCTTTTGCCAGTTTTCTCATTTTTTAATTGTAACACACATTGTCCGACCGCTTGTACCATCGCTTTGTTATACATCTTGAGAACTTGGGTTGTTCCTTTCAATTGAACTTTTCCTAAACACCGCTCTAACATAGATAATGAAATGACATTGCATGTCGCGCCACGGTCTAATTGAAAATTCACCGGCTGTTTACCAACGGTTATTGAGGCATATAATCGCTTAGGGAATTGTTTTGTGCTTGACGATATTTCTGGCTTTCGCTTATCGTCCACTTTTACCATTTTAATTTCCTCATAGTCGCTGCTATCACTGGTCGAGTCAGTCATGCCACAAATTATTCGGTCTTGGATCAATGATTCTTTAAGCTGTTCAAAGTTACACGTTGCAGCCAGAATTTTCACATCTGTGATAAACTTATCCAATGTTTCTCCCGCTTCTTGCACTCTTGTAAAGAACTTGTATCTCTCTACAGTCTCGTTTTTCTTCGGGTCACAATAGTTCGAGAATGCTTCAACAATACCTTTAAAGCTCCGCTCTTCGGGTTCTTGATCAAACGATAATGTCTCGTATATTTCTCGACCTTGATTTCCAACAATGTACAGAAAGAGTTTAACTATCGTCTCTTCCTTCTTTCCAACCATAGCCAATTCCATATACAGCTCTACTTCTTCTCGCCAACGTTTCCATGAGTGCGCGACATTTGAAACGTCGACGTCAAACTCAGAAGGTGGTTTTAGGTGAGCAATTGGTCGACTTATTTCACTAGTTTCTGGTTTCGCCATATTTCTCTCAGGCTCGTTGACTACACACCTGACACCATGTTAAACATCCCGTTTTATATTAACACATGCAGACATTTAAGTAGAGTAGATTATTAAGACACATTTAATAAAACTGCTTTCTCTTTTATACATTAGTACTATGAGCCCGCATTACTGTTCCATGATAAGTACTTCTTGTTACGGATTAATTGAACCTTGTACGGATCATGAGGAACCGCACTAGGTGCGAAAAAATTAAGGGTGAAGTGTCTGTTGCCATAGAAGTTGTAATTAGGTTTGACAGACACCAATTATAGGCTATTAATAAGAGGAGAAGACACTTTGTAATGCAATACATCGCTTGCTGTAACTGTTAAATATTAAGGCATGTATTTAAGTTATTAACGTACAATATGGTTTGTTTACGCTGTCATCACTTTACAAGGAAACTACAAATTATACTGTTTTGCCATAAACGCGCGAAATTAGAATCATCAGTGTCTACTGTCTGGTGTAGCTGGCTTGGCAAATGCATGACAAAAGATGCGGAAATGTATTACCGTGTATTTTCGCATTGTTTGGATCGAGCCAGATAGAAATTGGTACGCCTATAATTACTGCTTGCCCGGTTCAAGCATATCAAATATACAGTAGGAATAATGGCAATAAATATATATTGCAATGTTTCCCGTACGAATTCAAGCGGGTCAATATAAAAGACCTTAAGCTTCAGGATTACAATGGTAATCTAGTGCCATACCGTTGGTTTAATGCTGGACGGAAAATCGCCGAAGCTTACGTTGTCTCGTCATTCGGTATCTTAACATTCGCGATGAGAAAGCGCAGTTAGCGCACACTTGACGGAGCGTGGCTACAGTCCAGCGTATTCCAGCATATACGCCAAATGGTCAACTCGTTCCCGTTTGAAAAAATTGGCGCCAACAGTGTTGGCCCAACACAACACCAAGCGTTACTCTGAAGAACAACGAAAGGGACGAAACGGCGCGAATGATTGAGCACATAATGCATGCTCGTAGAGAACATATTGAAAGACGAACCAAAAACGTATACAAACTTTTGAAACGGCTTAATTCTCGCTTATACGAACGCGAATGGTCTTCATCTTACTAGGAGTGTTCAGAGTGATGTATATTGGTATGATGAAACAATTTCCATAGTTCTGGAAAGCGTACAGTAAGTAAATAACTACGTGCAGTAACTCATGCTGAAAGGAGTCAAGAAGGGTAGGTTTATATGTCAGTCTCTGCAACTCGATCTCGATGTTTTGCAAAGTACACGGCTCAAAATATTGGCCGAAAGCTTTCTATTCCACTTATATGCATGATACTGTGTTAAATAATCTAAATTCCAATGGAATTTCAGCTGCTAACATAATATTGCGATATATACAATATGACATTGCTTTGCTGTAATGCACAATCTACTGCATGATCTTGCACGATGACAAATTTATTTGTTCCAAATACTTTTAAGCTGATACACTCTTGTGTCAGAAAGATGCGTCATCTTATGCTGACAGATTTTGAAGATGCTTCATCTTACCTTAATCAGTAATTGAAGCTTAAAATTATTTGAATAAATATAGCTATGGAACTACGTTTCTAAATTGAAATGGAATTTGAGTTGCTAACGTAATGTTGCGATAAATACAATATGACATTGCTTTGCTGTAATGCACAATCTACTGCGTGATCTTTCATGATGACAAATTTATTTGTTCCAAATACTTTTAAGCTGATATACTCTTGTGTTAGTAAGATGCGTCATCTTATGCTGACAGATTTTGAAGATGTTTCATCTTACCTTAATCAGTAATTGAAGCTTAAAATTATTTGAATAAATAGGCATTGCATATGGAACTACGGTTTCTAAATTGAAATGGAATTTGAGTTGCTAACATAATGTTGCGATAAATACAATATGACATTGCTTTGCTCTAATGCACAATCTACTGCATGATCTTGCATGATGAAAAGTTTATTTGTTCCAAATACTTTTAAGCTGATATACTCTTGTGTTAGTAAGATGCGTCATCTTATGCTGACAGATTTTGAAGATGTTTCATCTTACCTTAATCAGTTGAAGCTTAAAATTATTTGATTTGAGTTGCTAACATGATGTTGCGATAAATACAATATGATTGTTTTGCTATGCACAATCTACTGCATGACCTTGCGTGATTGCAAATATATTTATTTGTTCCAAATACGATTATAAGCTGATATACTCTTGTGTCAGAAAGATGCGTCATCTTATGCTGACAGATGTTTCATCTTACTTTAATCAGTTGAAGCTTAAAATTATTTGAATACGCAGATAGAACTAAGATTTCTAAATTCAAATGGAATTTGAGTTGCTAACATGCTGTTGCGATAAATACAATAATATGCTTGCTTTCCTATGTTATGCTATGTTATGCACAATCTATTGCATGATCTTGCATGATCGCAAACTTATTTGTTCGAAATACTTTGCTGATATACCCTTGTGTCAAAAAATGTGTCATCTTAATCAGATGAAGCTTAACATTATTTGAATAAATGGAGCTATTCATGATTCTTTTCAAGTGTATAAATATAGTTTCTGAAATGCTGCTGTCATACAAAATATGCTTGCTTTGCTGGTGCACAATGTACATTGACATGAACGTTACGACGAGGCCGTGGCTTATAGTTTCTTTGTTTTATGGCATTGATAAAAGAAATACGTCTTTGTACAATTTCCCAAATCTCGAAATATCCCAGTTTCATCTAAGTAATTTGGAAGGCATATCCGTCATAGCACAACTAAGTAACACCTTGAAGTGGCTGCACGACAACAAGATTTTGCACAATGATATAAAATTGGACAATGTCATGGTTACTATAAGGATAATGTGCAGTTCCATGCCATACTGATAGACTTTGGTAAGGCATGTTCATTTGCAAATGCTAAACGAAAGGAATTATCCGAAGAGTTAAAGGCTGAATATCGGGAATAGCATGGGTATATTGCACCTAAAATAATAGAAGGTAAGTCAAAACAGTCAACAGCAAGCGATGCCGATGTTTACTGATGCTTTAGAGAGAGTTGTTTTAAATTAAAGGTTGGGTAGTTTTATAAGTGCGAACAGATTATCGTGCTAAGCAAATCATGTCTCAACGATATCTTTAAGAGATGTACCCTTAAACATTTATCATAGTCATAGAAGAATGTGCGTGAAATACTGAAAAAAAAACCCAGTTAGCCACCATCACAGAACGCATAACTTTATAATATGTCATTCTGGGTACCATGGCGATGCTGCTAAGTTGCGGCCATCAGAAGGCGAAAAAGCGCAACCTTTACACGTGTTATTGCTTCCCGCAATAAATGTCATACAATAAATAAAAAATTGTTATCACTCAGAAGATCCAAAACACCTTCAATCTGTACCTTTAATCAATAACAATATTAATAACAGGTTTCGTCAGAGCTCCTACTGAGATCAGCAATATCATGTAGCGAAAAATCTTAGTTAATTTATGCACTTCACCTGGATTGGTGACAGTTATGAGCTAATGCGTTTCCGGAGATTCGTGTTTTTAAAACACAAAGTTTGCATAATTAAGGCAGTGCGGTTCGTCATGAATTGCTGTGACGCAGATGCGTTGGCAGAACTGAAAACACCCTTGGACAGATAGAGTCTTCAATAACATATACAGTACCGCTCAGAATTAACCTAACAAAAACCGCGGTTTAACCTCGGTTGAACCTCGGTTTGACCGCGGTGTGACCGCGGTGGTTTAAAGGTTTGACCGAGGTTATACCGCGGTAATTTTGAGGTTAAACCGCGGTGACCGTGAGGTTTAACCGACGTTTGACCGCAACCGAACCGAACCGATCCGCAAGCTTCGTATATACTCGTAATAGCATTCGTAAATATTCGTGTATTTCCGAAGGGCTCATTATAAAAATTTCGTATGTGCTTTATAAATATTGACATATTTTGTAAACATTGAGGCATGGGGAGGCTGTCGCTTTATGCCAGGGAGCGAATTGTCTATACTTTCGACAAATACTTCAGTTGTTGGAATAACTAAGAGTTTAAACGAATGGTAAAGGCAAATATGTAGGTCTCTTCTTGTTTATTACAGTTTAAATAGATGTTTTAGAATAAGTAAGAATTTGTCGTGCGCATCAACTTTATATACTGTCGCGAGTAAGAGTACATCCACTCGCGCGTAGCGAGTACTCGTTCTGACTCGCTACTCGCGAGTACTTGCATTTCATCTCATGCTTGCGAGTCAAAAGGCTCAGACAATTTGTGCAAATATGAAGCGAATAATTCAGCTAAATGAAATAAAACTCCATAGTTATATGAAACATAGTATGATAGATATTAACGTGTTTATAAACGACTGCCACATGGTGGGAAATATTTTCTTCGAACACAGTTCGTAAATGGTCGGACAGTCTTAGAAGCGTTAGCTATAACTGAGTCTATATCAATCAAAACAAAGCTTTAAAACCGAAACCGCAATCAAAAATGTAAAAATGACACCAAAATGCGAATGATTGGACGAACAAATGCCATATTTAAATTTGGGACTATATATTCAAATATGGTCCGGTTGTAAGAATTGGCATTGAGTTCACTGACGCTATTTAACAATATAAATATCGAGTACTCGTCGACGTTGTCTTTCTTGTAGTTGCAGTAAGATTCGAGAATCAAATTAGGAGTAAAAACGTAATACTGTAAAGTGCAAAGTGACAAAATATAACTTACATTGTATATACTGCTAGCATCTGTCTTGAATCGGGAACCATTACAAACTCGCAGTTTCTCGCTTGTTATAGTCAAGCGACCTGATGCGCTGAATCCAATTGAAGATAATATCGATTGAACCCCATGGAACAACGTAACACGAACATACTTTATTTAAAGCAATTATACTAGTATCATATAATCGACAAATCCTGCCTATACTAATACAAGTATAGATTGTTTTGGCAGATCTCATGCATGTATGGTCATT